GAGAGAGAGAGATTGTCTTCTTAGATTCTAAGCACCTTCTTCTTAGATTCTAAGCACCTGCGTGGATTGACTGCTAAGAATGTTCCTATTATTGTAACACACTATCGCGGGGACAGCTTTTCTAAAATGTTTCAAATAAGGTAGTTTTGACCGTAATTGTTTTTAATGCTAGTCAAAATAGACCTTGGCAGTATACTCATGCAGCCCCTAAGGATGCCCTTGCAGTATCCAACAATATTTTTTAACTCGACTTGGCCAGGTACTCGGCCCTAGCCCAAACCATGTGGACTCAGCCGAGTGGTGCACATGTCAAAAAAGGTTAAAAAATAAAAATGTAATTTTTTTTAAATCATTAAAATAGGAAAATGTAAAGTAAGTAATGGAATTCACTGTCCATAAAAGTCCAGAAAATTACATAAAAGATGGATATTCAACTTTTTTTTATATAGACCTTGAAATATTCAGAAGATCAAAAAAATGAAAATATAAAAATTGGACCATGTTGAGAGAAGGCTTTCCAAATCATCATAAAAACTATATAGATGATCTAAAAATATATTTTTAAATCATTTGACTGAGATTTTTAACAAAGAATAGCATATTCATTTTAAATGGGGACTGAGTTGGCCCCTAGAACTCTCCTTGGCCATAGGCCGAGGCTCTGTTACTCGGTCGAGTCCCAGTGGACTAGACTGTGTCCTGAAACACTAGTATCCAATATCAAATGGAAGAAACATTTTGCTTATTCGGACTATAGTTTCTTTTATCATCTACCTTTTTTTTTTTTGCCTGAATTTCCATGTGTAGATGTTCTTTTGATAAGCTCTATTTTGTGTGAGGCAGGCCGCCTTTCCTATAGAGCGTCTTGGTATGGGTGCTTTTAGAATCACACTTGAGTCCATTTTCAACAGGCAAGTTCTTGGAATGCAATGGAGAGTCCTCCAAATAGGGTGACCCATGCCACGTAAATTTATTGTTTCTCTAGGCATCATTGATTCGTTCATGGTTTGTATCTTTAATATGCAGAATTAGTTACAGTCCTCTAAAGTATACATCATATGGGAAGCCAAATCCTACAGTATTTGAAAATGCACGATCTATACTGGAAAGTCTTCCCTTGGATTGTGACCCTCATACTGCCAATGGTCATGGGGCTTCTAGGCAGCCATTGGACACCCTTTACATGGTCGGAGATAATCCTGTAGTTGACATCAAGGGTGCATGCCAGGTTGCTCTCTCTCTCTCGCTCATAATTGTGGCTCTCTTGTCTGTACTTTTACTCCATGCTAAACTATTCAATCTCTTTTCTGTTGTATGAGAAACCAGCACTATTAAATGATTTTCCTTTTTTCTGATTAATCTCTCTACCTTTCTACTCTCTATTTTTGGCTTGGTGGGTGAAGTTGGTTTCATGAGATGGAAAAATGGAGCATCCATCTCCTTCACATGCAAATTAATGGGTTATTACCCATTCCGTTATATACCAAAGCCTTAACATAAGTAACTGCAGTGTTAAGGGGTGTGTGTGGACTTGGGAGAGTAACTCGGCCTTGCCCTATGGGTGAGGCCAAGTTACCCCAAGTGGTGTGTACAACTTGGAATACACGAAAAAATTTCAAAAACATATCCCAAAAAAGTTGTAAAAACTATGGGATGTTCTATAAATTCTTTTTATATATAATTTGGATGTTTTTAGCAAAGATTGGTGAGTTTTTTTTGGCATAATCCCTATATATATATATTTGGATTTTTTGAAGGAAAAAGTTTATATAGAGCCGAGGCTCTAAACAATCAAATTAGTGCCCACCTCAAAAAGTTCACTAGAAGAGGTTGTTTTGATGCCCAAATATCCTTAAATTGATCATCCCGACATCAAGATGCATGGACATGAGAAAAAAATTAGATTTCAAGTTTGGAAATAGTGTATCTTGTAACGCATTTTTGGACAGTCAATTTTCAAGATTTTCAAGTTTTCAAAGATCTGCTTGATCTACTCTATTTTTTAAGCTTTAAATTTTATAATTAAAGATGACTATATTTTAAGGCTATCACAAAGATTTCCAGTATTGAAACCATATTTTTCGATACTATTTGATGGTGCGCTCTACTTTGATTGTTTAGAGCCTCGGCTCTATACAAACCACACCTTTTTTAAGATATCCCAAAATATAATTCAATTTTTTAAATCCATTTTGCTATATTTTTTAAGCTTATTTGGAGTTTTTAAGGTTGTTTTGGTTTTATTTAACTTTTAGTAGCTTCATTTCATTTTTTTCAAATTTTTCTTTATTTCTTTTGAGGGTTTTTGGATTCAGCAAAGTAAGCCTTTGGCCGAGGCAAGTTCCTAAACATCAAGTACATGGCTGTTTTGTTTTGGTGTCTAATTCAGAGATGATCAATGCTGAAGCTTCCATTTCCTGGTTTCAGGCAGGTCGACCCTGGTTCAGTATTCTAACAAGGACAGGCGTCTTTAAGGGAAAAGGCAATCATGAACAGTTTCCAGCTGATATTGTAAGTGCCTCAGTGGACCAGTGGACTCCTTTGGATTCAGTTTTGATTTTAGAAATCCCAAGTTTTTCTCCAGTTGCAAGTGCCTGTAACGGTTGTGTAGAGTTTATGTAACCTTAACACCCTCAAGTTTCTATGTAAAGCTAAAAGAATCCCCCAAAAAACAAAATCGAAAATGTTGTCCACTACCCTCCACCATCTAATGGATTTTCTTTTCATTGGGGACAATTCTGGTTCTTTTAAGATGTTGAGTAAATATTTATCTAAATGACAACATTTGGATGCTATGTCGCATAATAACTGCATTCAATCCTGTGAAAAAAAAGAAGAAACTTGTGCTGTGTAGTCTACTGGACTTGCAGAAACTTTTATATAGTTGACGGCTTTTGATGTGTGGTCTATTGGACTTGCTTTACCTTCATATGGTTTACTGAATATTTGTTATTAATTTCAGGTAGTTGACACTGTTGAGGAGGCTGTGGATTACATTCTCAAGAAAGAGTGTAGAAACGGTTCTTGAGGCTTTTTAGTCCTATCTTTCTCAATTCATCGATCGCCGACCTCTACCCAGGTGGTAGAGTTCTCGTCCCTTCGTACACTTGAGGCTTTCTTATATGATTTTAATTTGGGAGGCTTTCTTATATGATTTTAATTTGGTTCTGCATGCATTGGGCATATGAATAAGCACTCTTCAAATTGATCTGTCTCCAGGTGTGTCAAGAGAGAGATCTTTCTGCTTATTTGTGCTGCTGTAAGACAGGGAGCATCAGAGAGCGCAGAAAATAAAATTTGGTACTGGAGGAGAAAGGAAAAGGAGGAGAAAGGAAAAGAGGAAAGATTGCACTTTTGAGTTGGGAAAAATCTGTTCTTTCAAATCGGGAGCTGTTTTCAGTTATGGATTTCAACTGAATTAATTCACTTTCAGGTATTATTAAGGTCTTTTGGGGCTTTATTTCCAAGTTTCCAAGGTTTCTACATGTTATGGCTTACTTAAATCAACACTAGTGGATTTACTTGCTATGCAAATTGCCAAATAGAAATGTCAGAAAAAATAGAACAATAAAGAAATAATTAAAAGACAAAACTAAATAATATATCTTGAAGGTACTTTTTTAATGTTAGGATGAACATTAGTATCTATTACCATTCCTATGTCCAAAAAAATTATGTCAAAGAGTACGAGTTTAACAATATTAAGGAAAATTGAAAAATATTTAAAAAAATTCAAGAGATTGTATAATATGAGACCATTTATTTTTCGGTACAAGGTGGTCGCCATTATTTTTAGCCATTGGATATGAAATCTAATAGATTGAAGAGTATCGTGACATCTGAGAAATACTATTTTGGATTTTGTGTCCAATCAATGACACATCCCCAGCCATTCAGTTTTACATCCAATGGTCAATAATGATTGTGATTTTTTATCAAAAGTAAATGATCTCATTGTATATATTTTTTAAAATATAATTAAATGAAAAGAATAGTAATAAGCTAACTTTGAAGTGTAAAATGTCACGTGAAACTTGTTATTTTATATTAACATTGATTCCTATACGTGCATATAATTTTTTATTTTCTACAGTATCAGGACTCGCCCGAGTCCCCTTGAACTTGGTGAGTCTGCGTCCCCCGTTTGAGTGAGGCCGAGTTACCCCGAAAATTAGTACACTCCATTTCTATATTTGTAAAAGGCAAAAACTTTTATACTCCCACGAGAGTATACTGTCCATTTATTTCATCGGTTAAAACCTCATATAAGAGAACTTTAGACCCCAAAATTTGGGGATGTAATCTCTTCAACCCATATACCAACCTCAATAATTTTTTTTTTTTTTTCCAAATTCAGCTATCTAACATGCTCTTTGTGAAAAAATATAAATTTAATTTTTTTTTGCATTTAAAAATTAATTATAAGAATTTTGAAATTGCTCGAACTATTTTCAAAGGATGAATAATCCAATGAAATGATAACATAATTTTTTTACACTTTTTTAAAAATTACTAAAGATAGAGAAATTAGTCATAAATGTGACTGAAAATAATTTAAAATCATAAATTTAAAATAAACATCAATAAAAATATTATGTTTACAAATTTTAAATTTCTTGAAATTTATTATAAATAGGCATAACAAATATTAAAACTACAAATCTGCATAAGTAATAAAAATGAGAAGAGCATGAATAAAAAATAGGCAATAG